GTGGAGTTTGTGAAGAAGCATCTAGAAGAAAACATAGGAAGAAAAGGCATACAAGAAAAAGTGGACAGGGTGTTGGATGTCATTAAAATTCAAAAGCTCTGTCTGCCCCTACCCCTCCTCCTCTTTCTTTTTCAGTACTGGGGACTGAACGTAGGGCCTCTCACATCCCAGGCAAGTGCTCTAACACTGAGCTATATCCCAGTCCTCTTTTTGAGACAAGGTCTCACTAAGTTGTTCCATTAGGCCTTGAACTTGTGTATCCCCTGCCTTAGCCTCCTGAGGAGCAGGAATCACAGGCCTGGTCCCCTAATCCTACCTAAAACTTCTGCTCTTTAGAAGTATCAAACCAAAGACAGTAAAATATTGCCAATACTTTTTGACAAAGGACTTGTGTCCAAAATATGTAAAGAACACCTACACTTGATTAATAGAAAGACAACCCCCCAAAAGTGATATTCTAATGACCATATGAAAAGATGTCCAACACATCATTCACCAATAGGACAATATGAATTAAAGCCATGATGAGATACCAATAAAATAGCAACAATTAAGGCTGAAGAGGGCTAGCCACATAGAGCAACTGTAATGTTCAGATATTCCTGTGTAAATGGCATAGCCATGTTGGAAACTGTTTGGCCATTCCCTATAAATTAAACACATACATAGTAGGTGACCCAACAATCTAGTACCCCAGACAGCCACTAAAGAGAAATGGAAATATATGTCTACAAAAGAGGTGTTCATGGATGCTCACACCAGCTTTGTTGGGAATATCTGAGCACTAGAACTAACTCAAACATCCATCAATTGTGGAATCAATAAAAATTTATGGTATGCCCACTACTTAGCAGCCAGGTAGTGGTGGTGCATGCCTTTAATCCCAGCACTCAGGAGGCAGAGGCAGGCAGATCTCTGAGATTTCAAGGCCAGCCTGGTCTACAGAGCAAGTTCCAGGACAGTCAGGGCTTCAGAGAAAGCCTGCCTTGAAAAACTAAACAAAACAAAACAAAAAATAATACTACTTAGGAATAAAAAGGAAAGTGCTATTGAAATATGCAACAACACAGATAAATCTCAATAAACAATATCTACAAATGTATAATAATTGTGGTCACCTCAAAGGAATTATAAAGGTGTACCTTTGAAAGACCTAGACAGTGTTCTTAAAATGAATGCAGTATATTATATGTAATGAGAACCTGGAGAAAATATAGGTGATGTTTTGTTTCTTCCACGGACCCACAAGGACATCACCTGAACAGTCATGTAGAGAAACGGCCTGATGAGCTGGCCCACTGCTGGTCAGCCAGTTGGGCTCTCCCAGGATGCTGTGACAACAGGGAGTAGGCCAGAGCTCAGAGGCCAAGTTTGTCCTGGCTCTGAGATGCCTGTGATGTGTTGTTTTGATCAAGTCTCTTGTACACAGAGTCCTTAACACTGGGAGAGTTCACATCTCCCCACCCTGACAGACCTGGAAGTTCAGGGGTTTCTAATGGTGTGGTGACTGACCCTGGATTGATAGATAAGCATACAGCTTACATGATAGGCTTTACACATGCTACATCCCATCACCCAGCTCAGTGCTGAAGTCACCCCCGGAGCTCTCCTGTGTGTAAGCATTTACAGAGGCCAGAGGGACCACCATGGATATCGTCCTTAAGAATGCTGTCTTTGAGATAGGGTCTTTCATTGAGCTGGAGTTCATCAATTAGGCTAGATTAGCTGCTCAGTGAGACCTGGGGATCCTCCTGTCTCAGCCTCTCCAGTGCTGAGACATGCCACCACATGTAGCCTTTTTACATGAAGGCTGGGGATCCGAACTCAGGCTTTCATTCTTGCAAGGCTTTACTGATGAGCCATCTCCCAAGCCTGGAGATGAAACTTTCTAAAGCATAGTTGACATCAGTGGTCCTTTGCAAGTGTGTAGCCTCTGTTCTGGTGGAGTTCCTTTCTTTTCTAGGGACAGATAGAAAAGGTTGTGAAAGCACAAGACTTGGAGTCCTGGGTCTGAACCCCAGCTTGGCTCTCTGCTGGCTGTGTGACTCCAGGCAGACACTTTAACCTTCTGGGTTGTCAGTGATGATAAGGCCCATGTTAAAGGCAGGTAGGTGTGCAGCTTGGGCAATGAAGGTCCGACAAGGTGCCTGCCAGGCACTAAGAACTCAGTGTAGGCTTGTTCTTGGCATGCCAACCACCTCCTGTCCCATTGCTGTCCTCGGAGAGCCCACCTGACAGGTGAGAAGGTTCATGGAACCCTGCCTGTCTCACTGTTGAGGAATGTGTGGCCTCTCCCACTATGGCCAAGAGGGTCTGAGAGAATTCACCAAGCAGGAGAGGGAGGCTGCTCTCCAACCCCCACCCTCTGCAGCTGCTGTCCCCCTGGGGCATCACACAATGACAGCTTACAAGGCTGTTCCCTATACAGCACGAAGAACAACTCTGAGGCAGGGCCTGGTTTCTATCCTGTCCCTCACTCATTTGCTCTGTGACACCGGTTGACTTCCCTGGACCTTTCTGGCTGTTTTCTACTTACCTAGGAATTGCTTTGAGCGTCTATGGGAGAAGGGGTTTTGTGCAGAAGTGATTTATAGACTTCCACTCTGCTTTGTTACGTCACCATTGCCACCACTGAATCAGGCTATAGGCAGCAAAAGCCACTGCTTCCTCCCTGTGGCTTGGGAGGGGGACACCTGATCTGAAAAAATGGGGATAATATGTGACCCTTTTGAAGCAGGGGGTTGGTCACTTCTCACTCTGAAGTCTTTGCCTGCAAAGATCTCAAAAAGATTGGTACCAAAATTGCTGTCACCCGCTCTCCTCATCGTTGAATTCCCTTTCATCAGGAAATAAAGGAGAGTATTTCATGTTATACTTAGAAATGAGACTTCAAAGGCAACTGACCTAAGGAGGGATAAGCACATTGCTTCACGGTCTCACTAAAGTGTGGGTGACTGATATCAGAGATGCTGATGGGAAGCTGGGCAACCTGGTCCAACTAAGTCACTGGAGAGTTTGCCCCCAGATGGGTGCTGCCCATTCCCTGGACTCAAACACATGACAGCATGAGGCTTGTGTGTACCTTTTCAACTCTTCCAGTGAGGGGTTCCACTACTCACCCCCTCACTCTTGCTCTAGATGTAACTAACCATCTCCCCTCTTATTTCCAAGGCTGTCCCTTGCTCCTGTGCCCCCAAATTCATTCCCTTTCAACACACCAGCCAGGGTAGTCCAGGCTTCCTGGGACCCCTCTCCTCCCACCTTATCTGGCCTTCTTCACTCCATCCTCCAAACATAAAACCCAAGGAAACAAAAGGATCATGGGAAAGGTCTGGTGTCACTTCCTCCTCTATTGCTCAGAGGCTGTCGGGTCTGGGATACCTGGAACCCTCTTGGTTTCCTATACCATCATCCTCAATACCATTGGTTGAATGTTCACTTCATGCTAGCCACTGCTCAAAGAGCTTTATATATGCTAAGTCAGGTACTGTCACCCACATTCTACAGGCCAGACACCAAGGAGCAGAGTAGTTAAGTGAGGCAGCCAATGCCACCATGCCTTGAAAGCGGCAGGACCGAACTCAGAGCTTGTGTCCTCTCCCTTCAGCCATGCCCACTGAGGAAAGTTCTTTCCGGCTGAATCTATGTCCAATGCTCTGGGGGGGGGGGGGGTCTGTGAGTTCGAGGCTCAGCCTGGTCTACAGCGCAAGATCCAGGAAAGGCGCAAAGCTACACAGAGAAACCCTGTCTCGAAAAACCAAAAAAAAAAAAAAAAGAGAGAGAGAGATACTGGGTCCCCAGCAACTGAGTGGTTCTCTCAGGTCACCATTACCTAGGATCTGCACTAGAGTTGGGATTGACAATCCCTCCCCACGTATTTCAGGGGAGGTTGTTGCTTATAACCCAGGCACATTTTAGCCAGGGGTCGTGACCTGGAAATTAACCTGCAGCCCTTAGTTCAGCCTGCGATGTTGCCCCTAGACCCTCATATGCCCTCTGTGACGGCTTCCTGAGAGCAGCCTCGGGCCTCTTGCTTGCTGTGCTCACACTGTGAGCCTTGCCTGGCTAGGGCTGAAGCTGTCAGAAAAAGGCAAAGTTTAAAGTTAAGTATTTGGAACCTGCTTTGGGTGGAGGTCAGGAAGGTGATCTTAAAATCCGTGATCCCAGGCATCCCAGCCCTCACCAAGTATCTGCAATTCAGGGTCAGGGAAGACATTTGCAGACAAATGCCATTTTACTTCCCTTACAACAATCTCCCTCGAGATCCTTCCCTACTCCCCAGGTGTCACCACAAACTATCATCATTTTTCTAGACACGCACACCCCCAATGGGCCTCTTTCCCTCTCTTTGTCATGAGCTCTAGAATTCACGTCCCCACTCCAGCTTGGGGTTTAATTTGATCGCTTTTCCTCAGAAAACAGTTCTTTATACCTCCAACTGACATGCCCCGCGGTCCCGGGATCTCCCATGCCCTTGGATCAGCAAAACTCTCAGCGTCACTCTCCCCCGCCTCTACCCACCAATCCCTCCACCCGGCCAGATGTCCAGGTCCCAGATCTGCGGAAAGAAAGCGAAGGATACAGAAATCGCAGGCAAGGAGTGTGGCTGGACCGAGCCCAGGATGGAGACAGACGGGGCACAGAGAAAGGACCCGAAGAGGACACGGGAGCCCAAGCCCACACTTGGACCAGCAGGGACGGGGCGTACCGGGGGCTGTCAGGCCAGGATCCTAGGCGCGAGCAGAGCTCCTGGCTTAGGTGGGAGTCTGACAGCCGCTGGGCTGAGGAACCGGGAAGGGCAGGGGACCGGACCGAGACTTGGATTCGGCAACGGGAGGTGAAGTCTGAGCTCAGAGAGCCAGGGGCCGAGAAAGGGGCGCGAAGTGCGCACGCAAGGCGATCGGGGTCCTGTCTGGGCAAAGGGCTGAGTTTTCGGGGCTTCTCAGGGACTGGAGCCGGGGACTGGGCACGCGGAGAGCGGGAATGCGACGGGCACTGACCCGAAGTAGGTGGCGGCGGCGGCGGCGGCGGGCAGCGCCAGCAGGCAGAGAGCGGCCAGGGCCAGCGCGGGCGCGGGGCGCATGATGCCGACTGCGGGTGCACTCTTGCATCTCCTCGCGCCACCGGGCGCTCGCAGCACCGCCACCAGCCGCCCGTGGGGCTTTAAACCCGGGTGGGGCGGAGCGCAAGCCGCCGGGGAAGAGAGCGGCTTGGCCGGCGAGCCCCCCCCCGCCGCCCGATTGGCCCCGCCGCGCTCGGCCCGCCTCATTGTGGGAGGGGCCAGTGACAGACCCCGCCCCACCCCAGGTGAGTGCTCACCTGGAGTCGCGCTCACTCCAGGACAGAGGGCGGGACCCAGGGCCTGGAGAGACAGGGATGGGGGTTCTGGGGGCCAAGGAGATGTTGCCTGTCCCGAGAGGGATGCAGGGCCACGGGAGCTCTGCTCCAAGCTGGACGTGGGAAATAGGGCGACTCGCCTGGGCTCTACGACAAAGCCTCCTGGTCATGGCGGTCCTGCTGGGCGGGTTCAGCTTTCTCTGCTCAGGGATTTAGAAGGCGGTGAGTCCTTCTCCAACAGTAAGAGAAATTCATGTCCAATGGCTAGGAGAACTCTTGGTCAGAAGACAGTATACAGAGGGCACCTAGTCTTAAACACAAGGCTGGTGGTCATCGGCGGGTGCCAAGGGCCATGTTGACAATGCTGGCCAGAAATTCAGGCTGTGTGGAGAGTGAGGTAGAGCCACAGAGGAAGGAGGGATTGGCCTCCCTAGCGTAAATGCCAGCTCTCCATCAGATAACACGTGAGTCTCCCCAGTGTTGGGCCTCAAAACTCCCTGTTGCTTCTTTATAAAAGTTTGACTCCAATTCTTGCAGTGAAGCAGGAGGTGATATCAGTCTAGGGAGGAGACATACAACCAAATGAGCTTTCAAACTCGTTGGGAGTCTTGAACGTCGGGCCAAATAAAGAAAAAAAAATCTAGCTTGTAATGAACGTCAAATCTTCGTGTCAATTTTCAAAGAAAGGAAGGAAGGAAGGAAAAGAAAGAAACCAGACATCGAGTTAGAACATTGGGTGACAGTGACCTTGGCTTTTGGGTGGATATCAGCATGATGGGGGCTGGAATTAGGAAGATTTATGTCGGTTCTGACATCAAGTAGTGGCAACAGAGGAAACTCCGCTGTCGTGAGCCTCTTGGAGCTGATTCACTGTGGAGAACCCAGCAGCGCTGTGGTCCTAGCAAATCTGGCAGGCCTATTTGTCGAGGCTGCAAGGCCCGGTGTGGGCTTCAGAGACCTGGAATTCAGTCACGTGAACTAGAAATTCCAGATGTGAAATGGGGAAGCAACAAATAACAGACAAGCTGTTTGTGCAGATGAGACGTCAGGTACAGAGGACGCGAGCAGGAGCCTAGCCGGGTGCTGGTGCTAACTCTGCTGGGGGGATGAGGGATGGGTGAGGGATTTCTGTGACTTGGTTTCTGGGCTTTGGGTGTAAATGTCTGTTCCAAGGCTGATTTTACACCATCACTATGGTCACTAGTTACGACAGCATGGAGAAGACGTGTGCACAGCCAGCTTGGCAAGTTGGTTCATCACTTGTAAAACTGTCCCAGCACTCCGGAGTCAGAGGCAGGTGGATCTCTGAGTTCTACATAGAAAGTTCCAGGACAGTGAAGGCTTGTCTTGAAAAGCAAAGCACACCAAACCCAAAAGACAAGACAAAACAAACAAACCAAAACCTGTGAACTGGCATACAGGCATGCAGGAGGCTCGGAGGAAAAGGGATCTCGGTGGGATCCCTGTGAGTCCAAGAAGAGAGTGCTGTGGACTGGAGTAATAGAAAGATACCAGCAAGTCTCAGTCATACCCACCGACACCCTAGTGTGGGTGGAGGATGAGGGATGAGCTTAGCTTGGGCTGCTCCAAATGTCCCTCCTGCCCTAAAGCCCACAAGTACACATATGTGTAGAAAAGGCGCGGTGGAAGCGGGATGGAACAGTTTTCCCCCAAGTGATGCGGCTACCTGTTGCTGTCCTGATGGGAGACTGTACTGGAAGGGGGTTGGAGGAAGCCTAAGGATTCAGTGCAGACCTCAGTGACTAGAGAATGAGACACAGAAAGTGCTCATGCCGTGCTCTTGAGCCCTCAACAGCCAGGACAGTGGTCCCCACCCCAAGGCCCCTTCCTTCTGAAGTTGGAGCCTTTGACTCCTGGGTGTCTTCCAGCAGCTCACAGAGAGCTCTCAGTGCTGCTTCTGTTTTGTGGCCCACATGGCTCCACACAACACCAGGGACAGCTTCTCATCGCTGGCAATAGGAATCCCTACAGCAGATTCCCTCCCTGTGTGTACATGGGCCTCCGTGGGTGTTTGACCCCCAGCTGACGTCTCAAGTCCCTTGGGAAGCAGGGGCAGTCATTGTCCCAATGGCACAGATGAGGGCAGAAAAACTAGGGGACTGAAATAGTCAGTGCAGGTAGCCTCAGCTCCCGGAGTGGAGGCAGGAGTAGAGTCCAGCTCTGAGCACTTGCTGTGGATCAGGATGGTTGTGGATGACTTAGCAGTACCAGCATGGCCTGATTCTTGGCAGCCTTGGCATGAGCCATGTTTTGAGTGTGGTGTAGCTCCTAGGAGCTCACCCTCAAGGGATGCACGTATGGTCTAGAGGCAGAGAAGGGCGATGAAGCGGATCACCTCATAATTGCAGTCTTGGGAAAGGACCTGAGGGGTGGCTGCTGGAGTGCACAGCGTTGTGCTGTGAATGGCTTGTTGCTCTGCTCCCGCCTGGCTACCCTGCCTGGCAAACTCAAGGGCAAGGCTGAACTTTCCTGCTCTCTCCAATGTCTTCGGAACCTGGCACAGGCTCTAGCACAGCGCGGGTGCTTAGGATGTTGTTGCCAGCTCATAACCTTGGTCCATTGCTCTGCAGTCTTTTTAGGAAGCTACAGAGATGAAGTGTCACGCTAACATATGTGCTCACAGAAGCACTCTTTCCTATACTGACACGTGTTCCAATGAGCATGCAAAAAGCTTATGCACACACGTATACAGCCAGACAGACAGACAGACAGACAGACAGACAGACAGACACACACACACACACACACACACACACACACACACAGCACAGCACAAGTCCAGGCATTCAGTGATACAGACCCCCTTCTCCTTCATTACCCGATGGATGTCTAAATTCCTAGGCAGACCTGCAGCTGCTCTGGGATCCACACGTTCACACAAGTATGCAAGAGAGACATTCTTAGCCATCCACAAGCAGCTACCTGTCTCCATGAACCAGCCCAAGGCAGCCACTGCTCACGGATAGAGTTTTCCCCTCCCATTGAACACACACACACACACACACACACACACACACACACACACACACACACATCCTGGAGGTGACGAGCATACAGCAAAAGCTTTACTGCTCTGCATCAAATCCAGTTAGGGGGAGGAGGGTCTCTCCAATTTGCCTTCCTCTTCATCCCACCTCTTCCCAAGCAGACTACCTGCCTGATACAAAGCCTTGGGAACCACCCTTGTCTGGCTCCAGTTCTCTGCACCTCCAAATCCTAGGCAGGAGCTCATCCAGAAGACCCTCTGAGCCCCCACCAGATCCTAAGCAAGCAGAGATTTAACAGCCCAGGTAGCCTGCTCCCTGCAGCACACCCCCCACCCAGCTGCTCTGGAAATGGACTCTGAGCCAAGAGAAAGTGGGCAGTCATGCCCAGAGGCCTGAAGGAAAATGCCAGAACTTGACTCAGCTGCTAAGGCGGCTGGTCACAGGAGGTCCAGAGAGGCCCAGGGTAGTCTATGGACCTGTCTCTCTCCTTGTCTTTCCCCCACCCTCCCTGGCTGCTCTGCAGGACCTGACTGTGACCTGCTTTGTTCTGACCATTCCCACCAGTCCTGACCCCACAAATCTGAACCGCATCGGCCACATCCTTGTGACACCTCACTTGTATGTGACTCTGGAGCACCATGAGGTAGCTCATCTGTCATCCCCATTATATGGATGAAGACACTGAAGTCCTTGAAGGTCATGGAACTCACTGATGTTTCCAGAACATCTGCCTGAAATAAGACTAAAGCTAAGTGGGAACAAGGGTATGAGAATCCCCACATAGGACACCCACACTTGGGCCTGAAAATGATGCTCCCACAAAAGAGAAAGGACAGAGAAAGAGACCAAAATGTTAATACTGGATGTGTTGGAGGTTGGAGTATGAGTAAAGACTTTTTAATTTTCTTTGTGTTCTCCAAGTATTTCAGTGCAATTGTGGCTGACATTCATATTAAAACTGATGTCATTTAAAAGAGGGAGGTGGCTTGGGGGTATGGCTCAGTTGGTGGAATGCTTGCCCAGCATGCACGAAGCCCTGAGTTTGATCCCCAGCACTGCATAAACCAGGCTTGATGGTGGCACACCCCTGGAATCCCAACGCTTAGGAGGCAGAGGCAGGAGGATCAGAAGTTTCAGATCATCTTCAGCTACACAGAAGCCCAAAACCATTCTGGGCTACATGAACCCAAGATAAAAAGAGGAGCGAGGAAGAGAAGGCGGAGAGGATCAAAATGAATCTCTGACAGTAGAATTTTGATCCCCAGCACTGCATAAACCAGGCTTGATGGTGGCACACCCCTGGAATCCCAACGCTTAGGAGGCAGAGGCAGGAGGATCAGAAGTTTCAGATCATCTTCAGCTACACAGAAGCCCAAAACCATTCTGGGCTACATGAACCCAAGATAAAAAGAGGAGCGAGGAAGAGAAGGCGGAGAGGATCAAAATGAATCTCTGACAGTAGAATTTTAAGCACTGGTGAGAAAGCATTTGGGAAGGGGCAATGCTGTGGTATTCATTAATCAGCCCTTCAAAGACTCTAGTCCTTCCTTGAGGTGCTCAATCCAGAGTCCTGCCCCCAGCAATTCCAATTTGAGACATTATGCTCTTCCTTTTCTTACGATTTATTCCATCCTGATCATTATACTGGTGTGTGTTTGCAAAGAGCAACACCACATGCCCTCTCTCACCTGCCTGAGGCCCTTCTCCAACCCTTGAACACGGCTATATCTTTACCCTCAACCAGGAAAGGCTGAATGCAGAGGGGGG